TTTTGCCAAACTTCTCAATTCATTCATTTGTAGTACAAAACATTCTACTTCAATAGGCAACAATAGTACTTTTGAGGCTTCCACGGGTACTTTCTATATAGAATCTATTATTGTGGGTTATCTCCGCGTTTATATCCATTTTTGGAATGTCGACTTTGGAGCATGAAGTGAACTGCAACGCTTACGAAACGTTATAATATTTATTATATTTATATAATATATTCTATGTATTTTATATATTATATTCCAATAAATGTTGATAGCCAATTCGAGTCATCCACCAGATGTAATTTGTGTATAAATTCTTTATTATGTTATTATGCTTACAAACGTTTCGACCCTTGTATCGGATCCTTTTCAATATCATTACATACTTTATATCAATGTACTTCCTGGAACACTACATCGTTATTTTCATTTAATTATTGCTACTTTACTTATTCTATAATATATTATAAACAGATACAATCTAGAACAATGATACCATTTACAATATTACCTACATGATATATATTAATGTACGCACATCACTTTACTTGTCATATCAAAAGTCGCCAAGCAAATGTCCTCGCTTACATGTCGTTAATTGTCTTATTCTCTATGTTCTTACGTGTCACATGACCGAATATTAATATCATACTTAATATTTATATAATTCATTGGATTGATTTGAATCTTAAAGTTTTTCATTTGAATATTGTTAATGTTATTAATGCTGTTGTTTGTGCTAAGTTATTATCCTTATTGTTCTTATTGGTATTGTTAAAGACTTCTCTTGTGCATTGATAACTAATATGTTTTATATCTTTAGTGTTCTTAAAATTTAGTTTTTCCATTATCCAACTTATTTTTTTATTCATTTTATTATGTTCTTTAAGATATTAATAAGCCCAATTAAATGGTTTGTCAATCTCACCAAAGTGCGCATACCAGAACAGGTACATGCCTTGTTACAATTAGGGGGAAATTTTTGTTTACCAACGAATAATCTCAAAGCTGTCACGATCGATATTGTTACGTCCGGCCCCTCTGCAAAACATAATTCTGTTTTATTTTGCCAAATATTTTTGTTATTTCATCCTTTTATTTTGCGCTAAATTAATTTCGTTCTTACATCGTCTATCTACAATCTTTTACTAAAATTGCGAAATTCGTAAGTAGGTATAGTAGGCCGGTTCTAACTCAGGTCCTCTGAGGGGAGCGCGGGACGCGGGGGATACTCGTAGGCGAGGGAAAGCGGAGCGCGGGGATTCTTCGGTGGTGGGGGTATGACGTCATGCGGAATGGCAGTAAGATTTTGGGGACTGTAGTCACGTACAAGACAACAAAAAAAACATCACAAAAAAAGGAAATATTGCCATGAACAAAAAACAAACAGTTATAGAACGAAAAGTGTTACAAA